CGGAAATGATTTGGCAAAGCAATGGAGCGTATTCGTTGGGAAAGTCAACCAACCATGCTTCCGAGGACGTTCTAGGAGAACCGACTTGCGTTTGCTGCCAAGAGAAAGGGCGTTGGATACAAGTCTGCCCTAAGAACCTGAAGAGTCCAGAAGATGGTAGAGTCAAAGAGTATGGTTGTACTTCTGGTAAAATCCACTATCTAACTCGATTAAGTTCCTATTCGTTGATTCTTAATACATAATGTGATAAGATTGCATTTGAATGTTTTGCAGGATCGATGAAAAGAGAGGAAGCTTGATGAAATAGCAAGATGAATCTAATCACGATTTCATGGATTTGAAGATTAGATTTTGAGCTTAGATAGAGTTGTTAGGAATATTTATTACATAGTTTTTCAGTTGATTTTACATTGTAAGGACAAATGTTTTCTGCTGCTTTTATAAATAAAATAAATTTTGTTTGACGTGTCTATTTATTTATTTCCTTGCAATGAAATCGTTATGAAAATTGATGTTCGTATATTTACAACAAATGGGTATGATTCTTAATTATGTTGTTTGTGGAAATGTCGAGAATTTACCAAATAAAGAAAGTTTCTCATCGCCCAAGTTTCAATTGGATAGAGATTTGGAATCGTACAACAAGAATTGTATAATGAATGAATAAACTTTCACATTTGGAAATTAGACTAATTCCTTGACAAAGCATCAAGTGAAGGACTAGGAGATCAAGTACACAGGGTTATGTGTTGATAAAGTCCACCACAAGAGTAATAAAGATATTTGTCATGATTTACTAAAGGTTTAGTAAATATGATTATACTTATAAGATTAAGTGTAGTTCTGAATTGATAGTAAAAGTTTAAACGAATAAGCAGAACGAATAAGAAGAATCAAGTAGGCAGAAAGATAAAAGTTTCTCTATTCTAAGAAAAAGGGAAAGTACATTTTCTTATGTTTTATGATAAGTCTTAATGATTAAGAACCATGTCTCAATTGATCCTTTAATTAAGTCTTAGTACAATTGTATGTCTAAGAAGAGGAATCAAGAATTGAAGAAATGGTTAAATCAAGAAGTCAATCATACTTCATTCCAAAACAAGTCTTAGAGTTAAGATTGTGACATTGAGTAATAAGAAGGTTTATAACATTCATCAAATGAGGAAAGTTGTGATGTATTGAATAAGAAAAGGACCAACTAGGACCGATTTAGGAAGTGTTTTGATAAAAAAAAAACTACACTAACTCTTGAATATTTGTCAAGAAATGTTTATTGATAAGAGAATCTTATATGTCGAATAGTCAGTGGGAGTCTTAATTGTCTTGAAAGGTTTCAAGAACAAATCAAAATAAACCTTATCTAACATCACTAGCACACGACTTGAGGTTTACAACCTATCGTGTTGACACTATATTGCTTCTGTGCCGTTCCAATTGAGTTAATTATGCATGTGAACCCTATGAGTTCTCATTTGAATGCATAAAAGGCAAGGACCTTAATCAATGAAGAGTACATTGATAGGAAAGGGTGAGTTGCTTAACTACTTGGAAGACATGGTGGGCAGTTGTGCTACCATAAGGCAAGAAATCGAGATTAAGAAAGTTCGGTCCATATGAGTTTGAATTTGTCGTAAACTTTGGTTTTGACGAATTCACATGGATAGGAACACATACACCATTAAAATCTAAGTGTCATAAGATTCCGTCTTTCATGAAAATGACTGTGAGGAAATGCTTTCACTAAAAGAGATTTTAAGAAGATACCAATTGCAAAATTGTATTCTCGAATTCGATTATGGTTACGGTATCCCTTTCCAAGATTCGAATTGTGAGATTTGGCAATTAGTCTTAATTATTTAGACACACATATGAGCTATCTAAAGGAAAGGTGTATAAGCTTAGATAAAGGATTATTAAAGCATTAGGTATTAGAAACATGAACTTAAGAAATTCAATAAGTATTGTTTTTCTGGAAGTTAAGCTGTTTTCTGAATACATGTCAAAGCTAGTGGGAGCATAAGTGTTATGTTTACAACAATAATCATGATAGTGGGAGCATAAATGTTATGATTGCATGATTATTAAGGAAAGTATTGCAAGTTATCAATATTAATTATAAAAAATAAGAGTCATACTTTGCAAAGTTGTAAGGGTTAAATAGTTGTTTTGCTATAATTAAGGGAGAGAATATTATGCTTCATTTCAAAACTAAAGGCTTAGGTTGTGGAATGTTAATAGATTTAGTCAAGAGTACATAGTGCATTCTCAAAATTTCGAATTGTGAGAACGTGACACATAAAATATAATGACAAAAGATTGATAAAGTATTGTATCGTATCCCATACGCTTCGGGTATAGGATTGATTGCAAATGCTATAGTATTTGACCATTTTAAAATTTTCCAAATGTCTAGTGCATTTAGAGGGAAAAAGGACAATAATCGGTTTTGACTAAGATAATTAAACAACTATCAAAGGACAATCCAAAGTTCGTCGAGAATTGGTCGCTTGTGAGTAGTTGTAAGTATGATATTGGATGGAGTATATCGACAATTATTATGAATAGATAAAATTCTATTAAGAATATGTTGTCATATGGTAAGTATGGAAAGGTTTCCATATTGGGAGTTAGATATTGAGAATCTATGTTTAGATTATAAACTTTATGCAAAAGGATGTTCAAAGAAATGTACTTTGAGTGAGAGACATCACATCTAAGGAATTGTATTGTAACAATTTCCGAAAAAGAGCTTTGTAATTTCATTGGCAATAGTCATTTTGACTTTAGTGCAATGACATTACAAAAGGATCATTGCATAAAATGTTAGAATCTAACATATTCTATAAGTGGCAAGAATTTGATATTCTATCACTTATAAAAAGGATTTGGAGTTGTGAAATAAGTATAATTGGAAATGTGTTCATTTGATCTATTTCACAAAGTAAGAATCATAGGTAAATATTGTGTGCATGCTATGAGCATGGGACAAGTGTTGTAATAATTCAAATAAAAAGTTGATTACCCGAAACAACAAATAATGAGTAATCGATATGGTGATAAATAAAAGGTGTTTTATTTACACTCAAAGGTTTGAGGCCATATGGGATTAGTATTATCCTTGTGTTTCACTTTTCATGTTTTGACTTCCTGAATAATTTAATTGGTTCAGAATAGTCAAATTATTCAAACGGGCCACAGTCGTTCGTATGTTGGAAGTAGGTATGAATGAAGACTGTCGTGAATTGGTGTATGGATTGTCTAAAAGAGTATTAGACATAAGCAAATGTTTGCTGCAACGTTCATGAGTGCTTACGAATATGATTTTAAGCATTGGATTAAACCCACGCTCACTTGGATCACTTCATGGATTTTATCACGAGTGATTGGTGAGACGATAATATCTTATATTCTTGAAACCGAGATGTGTGAGTTGTATCTTGCGAATAGGTTGCACATTGATAATCTGTAAAGGCACCAGTAACTTGGTGTCATAAAACATATTATTGTGTGTGATTCGGTGAGTGAGTGCAAGCGAGCATTGAATCAAAGTTTATTCGTTACTTTTATCCAAAGTAGGATAAAAGCGATATCTTTGGGCCCCTCAATGATTTAGTGATGACAAACGTAAATGCTCGGCCGGGCTAGAGCTAATTGGATTTGTTCAATTAGTCAGTCATCATAAATCGGAAGTTGAGAAATGGTACAGAGAGAATGATTAGAAATAATGTCTTATACGATATCTAGAATGGAGGAATATATGATCCCTTATCTAAAGGACACACGTATCTGATAGGATCAGAGTTGACAGCGGCTTTGGAAAGCTACGATTGCAGATCAGGATCTGAAGTCATACGCAGAATAGTTATTAGACTTATCCAAGTGGGAGACTGTTGGATTAGTGTCTAAGTCCATAACTATTTTGGTATGTACTTGACCCGATGGTGCATGGTCCTTTTGGGTTGCCTTCACCAAAGCAACCTGATAGGATGAATTATGGAGAGAAAGGATTAAATATGATTTATTAATATATTATGGGAATAATATATTAAAGGATAAATCATATTGTTTAATTAATATTAGTAAAGAATTAATTGATAATTAATTTTGTGGCTAAAAGAGATTAATTAAACTTAAGGGACTAGAATTGTAATTATAAGATAATTGCAATTGGGCTATGGATTACCTTATTATATAAGGTTGGGCGAATTCTATGGGGAAACCCATAAGAAATCGTCTAAGGCCTTTAAGAAAGGAATCCATGGGCTGCTTAGGGCTTAAGCACTCAGATTGGGGTTTCATAGTTTAAATCCCTAATAGCCTACATGTATAAATAGCACCCTTAAGCCCCAAAAACGTGGTGAACTTATTCTCTAGGGGTTTGGATGATTTTGGGTAGCCTCCTTCTCTTTTCCTCTTCATCCTCTTGCTCTTGGTGTTTGTGAACCATTAAAGGAGTGACATTTGTGACTCTAAGCTTTTCTAAAGTCATTACAAGGAGGAATTGTGATTGTTATTGCAACATAACAATCAAGGTAATATCTTAGACCAATTATTATGTTAATATCGATTATCATATGCTAGAATTAGGGTTTATAGTCTTGGATGAATTGCATGTACAATAGAGAAACCTAGATCCAAGCATTAGAGTTTGTATGAGCACATAGGATGTTCTTATGGCAAAAACCCATAATATGTTACCTTACGACATCTTGGTTCCTAGATTCCAGTGGAATTGGAATCTTTAATTCCATTATGTGGTGTGTTTGGTTTAGAAAGCAACCAGTGGAATTAAATTTTATGATATCTATTAAAAAGATGTTTCAGGATATTCCAATTCCTTACAAAAACATCTTTTGAACCAAACGCCCCTTTACTGTTATATTTCTTTTTCTTTGAAGTTGTTAAATTCAATAGATTCGTATTTATGTAATCATATAATTGTCCAAGAAAACTACTTCACAACACATGCATTTGAATACAAGAACCAAATACCCTCTCCATTTTAAAAAAAGTACCAAACAGCCCGCTTTGGGTCATAACCGGTGCCATACCCTAAGCTGAACCAAACACATCCCTACTCCATATCCATTAAACACCAACATGACATCTATTATAATTGATTTTAATCCCTTAAATGGTTACTACTCACTAGACATTCTATTTTATTCAACTTTTTTCATTAAACTATATAGATTGTGGATACCACTTATTTTATTTTAATTATGTATGTAGTTTACATAAACTGAAACAATATATGAAATATTTTTACTTCATTTTAAATGGAAAGTACATGTCTCCCTTGCAGCTCTAATAGGTCACCGTTGTACTTGTGATCCCAATAAACCAACTCCGATTTGTGATGTTGATGTAGGTGTAGGTGTAGGACACAACGAATAAAAGTGGGGTGTAGTATATTGGCCTTGAAATAAACTTTTGGATATTATTTTGTATGCGGCTTCTGTAAAGTGTGTTCCATCCCAATAAGCATATGCATCTGGATCATCACACACAGTCGAAAATGCAGATCCACATGGTACAAATTTATTGTAGTTCAATGGACCTTCACCTCCACAACACGACTTCAAAACCCCATTTGTGAATCCTGAAAAAATTTCAATTCCATCCCAAAAAGAGCATTAAGATCCTAAACTAATAAATAATATCGTAAATTGTGTACCACTAGCAATATTTTGGAAGTGCCAAGAATTAAATCTTGGACTCCCTTTTATTGATGCAAAAGCAAGATTTTATAACATGTTATGTACCAAATTTAATTGGAGAATAGATAATCTGCATGGCAGCATTGTAGTAGTCAGCATAGATGATGATGACATTGGGATGAAGCTCTCGTAGGTGTTCTAGTTTTGATTTCAGTACTTCATTGTGGTATTCTGCAATTTTATTTAAATTGATGAGGCAACCAGTTATGTTATCATACTCTTCTTTATTTTCAGAACCACGTAATGTTAGCATTGAACTAGAACACCCAATTGGAAACGTTCCTGGAACAACCAGTGTTTGAGCGCCCATATCAATTAGTTCCTGTATTTAAAACTTTGAGAAAATTATACACTAGAAAAGAAAATTGTGAGTAGTGTAGTTGATAGTGATAGTTAAAAATATAGTTTGTATGATTTGAGTAGTTACATTAATTGCTGAGATGATGGTATCAGTAACAAGGGGAATGTATGATTCAACCTCGTCGATTGATTTATCTTGCATTATTGGATTGTTGTAATCGGTTCCACCAATCTCTCCCATTAGGATCAAAGAACGCCCAATTAAGCTTCTACAATCTGCCAACAATTATAATAAATAGAACTTACTAAATAGTGTTTGAATCTCAAAATTGTAAGCCAAAATTTTTTACGTTTTAGAAAACTACAATCCTTCCTAATATATAACAAACGTTATTGACACGTATGGTTGGTGCAATTGTATATACAGTAGAAGCATATACTATGGATGTTCGATTTACCTGAAGCGTCACTGCAGATAGAACGCAATGTTTGTTTAAACCATGCCAATTCAACTCCTAAAGATACATTTGCTGTAGGATTAATAGTCCCTCTTGCTTCATGAAAAGATGTATCCAATGCTGTTGCAGACACCACCGCATAGTTAACTCCTTGTCCCAACTCCACCACATTGTCACTCTCCTTGTCATCCAAAAATGGCGGTATCAATGGCAACCCAAGAATCTCAGCTTCAGGAACAACAAAAAGAAAATTATAATTCATTAAGTCACATAGAACATGAGCAACTTCATTCCTAGAAAAAATGCAACATGTAACTTTAACCCATGCAACAATACATATTTCATTAGATACTATTTACTAGATATCACATATCTACAACTATCACTATATATGAATTGTTTCAAATTAATGATGAGTTACCTAGGAAATCAATAATGAGGCGTCCATTCGAGGCACGACCAGTTGGTTGATGAAAGAAGGTTTCACCATAAGGTAGTTGAAGATACTCAACCTTTGCGTGAGACATGGACGCGAGTTTTTTAATGTTACCCGTGTCAGCGAGAGAGTCTCCAAAGCTGATGATGGATGTATAGCACCCATTAGCATACAAACTTCTATTCCATAAAAACAGCTGCAAAATCATTAAGATAGTGCTTGTAGAAAACTCCATTGGAATTGAAGAAGCTCCAACTATGCCGTTTGAAAAGAAAGAAGAATGTAACAAAATTTTGTGTCAAAGTTATAGCAATGTATTGGTATGTATTTTAAGCTCCAATTATATATTCATGGATAAATATAATGAAAAGAAAAGTAAGATGTTATTCAATAAAATATGTAACGCTTTTTTTTTTTTTTTTTTGGATTTTTAACGTGTTTTTCATTTAATTAGAATAAGATGTAAACTTCTTGGTTTTTAACATGTTATTCATTTTCTTATAGAAACTCACCAGCAAAAAATTTATATTTAATTGACAATTACTTCCAATATATCATTTGCCTATGTTTCTCTAGCTAGCTAGGGTGTTTCTTATCTTTTCTATTGGGACCTAGGGATGAGCATATGGACCGGGAACCGATACCGGAACTAGAGCCGGCACCGGAAACGGAACCCGATGGAACCGGTCGGGTCGGGTTGGGACCGGGACGTTATTTTTGTGAATTTTTGGAACCGAGAACCGATAGGAACCGGAACCGATATAACTGGAGTAGAACTGACAAAAACAGGAACCGTATGATGCTATTTTTCGAGGACCGGTTCCAACATTTGAAGACACGACAAGAACCGATAGGAGCCGGGAACCGGTAGAACCGTCGGGCCGCTTCGGTTCTTGATTTTGGTCGAAACTGGTTCCCGGGTTGGGTCCGGTTCCGGCCAGTTCGTTCCTTTTGCTCATCCCTGTTGGGACCAATATTTAGAGAGTAAACCTTAAAAATGGTCCGTTTGGTTTATAATTTTGATTGACTAAAGTCCAAAATAGTTTGGGTAAATTCCGCCCTTTGAGAATTTTTTATCGTGGATGAAGCCTTGTTCAAATCGACATAAAGTGTTAAGGGTTAAGGGCACTTGAAATTGAAATTTCGTCGTTAATTAACTTTTCTTATGTTTTGTGAAAATGAAATATTAGAAAGATACCCAAATACAGATGCAAGTAGGGCGGATATTGACGGATACAGTGATATCCGTCCCCGTACCCGAACTCTGATCCCACCCCCGCCCGACGTAATCCCCGATGGGTTCATCCGGTATGGGGAATCCGATGGATACCCGGTTACTCTAAATGACCAAAAGAATAGATAAGAATATGAATTAAATAAAGCTTCTAATATACAATATTTCTTTTCTATGTAGCATCTTTTAAAAAAAAAGTTTAGTTAACATTTAATTGATCTTTTTTTAGTAGGTTTAATTTATTATGTCATTAGTAACTATGTAAGTCGACGATTCATTGATTACTATTTTTAGGGATAATGACTTGAAAGGGTAACGAACTTTCGATTTTTATCACATTTAGTCACTAAACTTTTTTTCGTTATCTATTTGCCATTGAACTATTGAAACTGTTCACATTTAACCCTTATGACCGGCTGTTACCGGTCATAAGGGTAAAATGTGAACAGTTTCAATAGTTTAGTGGCAAATAGATAACGAAAAAAAGTTTAGTGACTAAATGTGAACAAAATCGAAAGTTCGTTTCCCTCTAAAAATATCTCCGACAACCACCATTGATGAGCATATGTACCATTGAGTTTCTGTTTATGCCCATGCCTCAAAATATCTTGAACTTTCCTATTATAACCCTATCTCTGTCTCTCAAACATCTTCAATCATTTGACGCTCCACTTTGACTATTCACCAAATTGAGTTTTTTCTTAGACTTTCTCATTATACCTCTGCTTAGACTTTCTCTACTCGTTCAACACGACATGAATACTTTATTTAAGTTGTCTAACTGGAAATATGTTTTTAACGGTAATAGAAAATGTAATGGCTAGAGAAAATAACAAAACTAAATCAAAAATAATGCTAATATTGTTTGAAATGAACTATGAAATTTTTAATATTCTAAAAAGCTGGTGACATTTTATCAAGAAAACACTTTTTATTGTTTTTGTGTTAAAAAAACTTATGAAACATATTATATTAATAAAATTCTCTTATAAATATAAATATGCGTTGTTATCAAAAATTTAAAAATATATTTAATATTCTAACAATGATCATGACTTTTATCAAGAGTCTTATAATTATCAAGAATTTCACATTAACCGTCATTAGAGTTTTCCATAGTTTGTATTTTATTTATATACTCATGTAATTTTGCTGTAAACATTTAATTAAATCGTTACGCAGCATAAAATATTTTGGGCTTCAAAACATTATTATATAGTTTAATGTAAGATATGTTGACACGTGTTTTTCTCAAACTATATGGATTATATAACATTTATTGTTAAAAAAAATTATATATCGTTTTAAAATCGTTTCGGTCATAAACATACTTATTATTATTTTTAATGTTGAACTTATAAGTATAAAATGACTTCCTAATATTAAATTAAAATGTAAGTAAAAACTTTATTATTTATATTATTTAAATAATAATAAATAATAAAATATGAATTTAAAACCTAAGAGTTAATTGTATAGTAATATGGATGGACACAACTTTTTATATTCTCTTATCTAATCTATTCTTTTTAACTACCAAAAATAGGGTCTCTTCGTTTCTTTAAATCGCCACCGATCATGAGATACAATGATCTCTTTGTTTATTACCAAGAGTATTTAAAAACCCATAAGTTGTTTGTCTCTTATTTTAAGATTGAACTTAAGTCCATCTTTTGGTTATCAAATAAAAACACAGATGTTTTGTCTTTTATTTTTCATTATTATTAATCGTATCTTGAAAATTTTAATCCATTTGGGGGAGAAAATTTGAATTATAAATCACAATATTTGGTTTAGTTCTACTTAAAGATTTTGACCGAAATACAGTCTCAAAAAAAAAAAAAAAAAAAAAAAAAAAAAAAAAAAAAAACAAAAAACAAAAACAAAAACAAGAAAAAATGCTATAGCAAGCAAGCATGCGGTTTAAATAAAACTCATAAATCAAAAAGCAATGAATAGCAGAATTAATGATTTTGAAGAATAGCATTTTCCATCCACAACATAATTTATTACTTTCTTTTTATTCACATTGTAAAAAATTAAAGAGACACATCTGCACATCTATTTTGGCCACATTGTCAATATTTTTTCTACACAATTTATCAATCTACACAACTGCACATCTAAACATATACATACAAAAACACGTGTAAAACTTAAGATTTTTCTATCTATTCCACATCTTTATTATAATTGGTCCATGGCACAACTTAGTTGGGCCTGCAAAATGCAAAGGAGATAACAATGAATCCATTTTGCCTCTTCGTATCATTTTCAGAGAGAATCACTAACTTCCATCTATCCGTCAAATTGATCTATGAGAGTATGAAAATTATTAGTGATCCATGTCAATTAAATGGACATTTAACATACTACAAATGTATATTTTCTAGGAGTTGAGCTGTTGAGGATAGATATAGAGAAAAAATGAGTGAAACTTATAAACTGATTCAACGTTTAAGCAGCTGCAAAATAGAAAATAATTATTGAAACTGTGAAGAGTTCCTTAAACAATATTACAATAAAATATGGAGTTTTTGGTTTGTAGTTTAGATCTAAAAACTTAACAAAGAAAGAGCACCTAAATTGTTGGAATTTTACAAAAAAAAGTTGATACATTTCAATATGCATAAGCTTTTTTTGTCCCATTTCCATACTTCGAAAGAAATGGCTCCATTTCCATACTTAAAATCTACATAATGTCAGTTAATGTTGATAATGTTGATTGTGTCTGAAGTGGATGATAAAAAATAAACCCAAATCAAGAACAATAACAAACCCAAAACATTGAAGTCAAAGTACCCGTTAAATTTGACATCCCATTTATGCGGTAAAGAGAGTGAAGGAGGGTAAATAAGATCTAAAATTAAGCGATTTAAGAGATTGACCATAAAACTGAAGTACAAGGGTCGTTAGATACAATAATTCAAAGTTGAAAAGACAAGTTTTCAACAGGGTACAAAAGAAATAAAAAATAACTTCAAACTTGATAAAAAAAAATATATATATATGATACAAAAACATAAAAAGAAACAATGTTTCTTCGGCAGAGTTTATGAAGCATTTTTTTTTTAACTTCAGTTAGACTTGATCAGTGGTTGTTAAATGTATCCTTAAAATATGGAGCTTCTTGACTTCGATTCAACAAATCATTCCTAGCCAAATAAACTATTACTATTCCTGCGAAACCATCAGATGTGTATTAAACAGGGTCTAGTGGAGGCTAAACAAAATTTACTAAACCAAAAACATCAAACATCAAATTTATCAAGAAGCAAAGAAAGTAAATTCAACATAAAGTAGTAAGATAATATATATATATATATATATATATATATATATATATATATATATATATATATATATATATATATATATATATATATATATATATGTTTACTACTTATAAAAGAAATCTAACTATTTCTATAAATAGATTGAATATAATAATATTATTTTTTTAAGACGTACAAACGATTAAGCTAATATTACAAACAACCATTAATAAAATAATATTAAATTTTAAATTTGTTTTGATTCCTTATATTTCTCAGCAAAATCCTAATTTCATGGTCATTCAAAATTTAAAACCTTTTCATCCTAATACGCTTCAACAAATATCCTTTAAATGTTGCATTTGCAGCTGATTAAAATATCTCATAGCAGACGTGTGTTTGTTCTCTCCACCTTATAAACCCTGCTATAAATCCCACTGCCATGAAGTATTTCCCTTATAAACCCTAATCGTTTTTCTCTCTCTCTTAGACGAAGACAATGTGTTTTTTTTAAGAAAAAAAGTTTGAAAATATTCCAATTTCTCAAAAAAATTTACCCCAAATGCGAAACTGGGTAAAATTTTCCATTTTGCGAAGACTTCAGGGATGCGAAATGAAAATTCTGCACTTTTGTCTTTTTATGACCCCATTTTGCGAAGTTGGACCACTTATATTATTTCTTGAAAAGATCAGGTGCCAAATGCGAAACTCTAAGCTTTCTTCCCCAATTCGCATTTATACATTAAAAACTTCGCATTTTCATTCAAATTCTTCGCATCTTGCATCCATCCGTCTTTGAGTTCATTCGCATTTCATCGCATTAACTGAGAAATTAATCAGTTGTCTCATATTCGCATTTCAGTTGTTTGAGAAACCCAGATACGAACCCAAATGCGAAACCCACTGATTTCAAATGCGAACCAACCAAAAATCATCAACCACGTACTTGTGTCACCAAATGCGAACTGAATATCACCATTAAATTCTCCTCGCATTCCATAGATGCGAACACAATCCAGATCTCCGACTCCAAGCTTGCGAAATCAAAATCAATTAACCTCAAACAAATCGTGAACTTCTTATGCGAACTGTTTTGACCCACAAAACCAAATGCGAACTCAATTGATGTCATATGCGAACTGATTTCATAGATGCGAACACAATTGATTTCATATGCGAATCCACATCCATCGATATGAAACCAATACCAGTTACAAGCAATTAGTAGCAACAACCATCGATCCTCTAATTTTCAATTACTCAACCTTCGCTTTTCATACAACCCGTCGACCCTGAAAAATCGATAAACACCAAATGTCTCATTTTTAGATCGATTTTCTGATTAAATGTCATATTTGAAGAATGATCGATTTTCTGATTAAATGACCCCATTTTGCGAAGTTGGACCACTTATATTATTTCTTGAAAAGATCAGGTGCCAAATGCGAAACTCTAAGCTTTCTTCCCCAATTCGCATTTATACATTAAAAACTTCGCATTTTCATTCAAATTCTTCGCATCTTGCATCCATCCGTCTTTGAGTTCATTCGCATTTCATCGCATTAACTGAGAAATTAATCAATTGTCTCATATTCGCATTTCAGTTGTTTGAGAAACCCAGATACGAAGCCAAATGCGAAACCCACTAATTTCAAATGCGAACCAACCAAAAATCATCAACCACGTACTTATGTCACCAAATGCGAACTGAATATCACCATTAAATTCTCCTCGCATTCTATAGATGCGAACACAATCCAGATCTCCGACTCCAAGCTTGCGAAATCAAAATCAATTAACCTCAAACAAATCGTGAACTTCTTATGCGAACTGTTTTGACCCACAAAACCAAATGCGAACTCAATTGATGTCATATGCGAACTGATTTCATAGATGCGAACACAATTGATTTCATATGCGAATCCACATCCATCGATATGAAACCAATACCAGTTACAAGCAATTAGTAGCAACCATCGATCCTCTAATGAGGAAACAGTTTCCTATTCGATTGTGCTTTGCAATGACAATCAATAAAGCTCAGGGACAAACAATTCCATATGTAGGTATCTATCTTCCAGAACCAGTATTCTCGCATGGACAACTTTATGTTGCATTGTCCAGAGGGGTTTCACATTGCAATACAAAAGTATTAGTAAAGCCTAACGAAAATTCAAAAGGTGATGGGGTTTATACAGCAAATGTGGTGTATAAAGAAGTATTGTACGATTATTATTTTGTGTCGTCTTGACTGGTTGCTTTTTATTGGTTATTTGATGCATGATGTAACAAATAACACCATAGTTTGATTATATTGTCTTCAACATGTACTTTTTTTTAACATAACAATTTTGTAATGGAAACATATCACCGAAAGAACTCACGTGCCCCGCCGCTTTGCGCGGGTAGACGGCTAGTGTATATATATATATATATATATATATATATATATATATATATGTGTGTGTGTGTGTGTGTGTGTGTGTCAGTTGGTCTTAGATACACTCAATAAGTGCAGGGGTGGTTTTCGTATAGGGCACGCAATGGTACGGACATCGCTTGAATTATCCGGACGCAGTGCAAAAATTTTGCGAAAAATTTCGTAATTTTGTTTTCTACTATCATGCAACTACTAGAATTTTCGGTGACACATCTACTATGAAATCATGCATCTGCCCCTTAATAAGAGTCCATTTAAAATAGATATGTAATTTCCAACCAAAGCCCATTTATTCATAGATACATTCAATAATAGTCCGTTTAGCATCCATGTATGCAATTTTCAACCAAAGCTCATTTGCTCCTAGATACAATCAATAGGAGTCCATTTAACCATATCAAAGGCGTCTTGAAATCTACCTTCAACATGCCTATTATCTTATTACCCTTTAAGACATGATTTCATTTACCACCAAACGTCCATCAAAGAACGTGTTCGCGTTGAATGAAGATTTCAGACCTACACTTTCTATACCCCATCCTGCTTTTACCACCTCTTGCAATTTGGGGTCAAGAAACCAAGAGTTAAAAATAAAATAAAATAAATAAAATAAAAAAAATTGGACAATTTTCCATCCATTCTTCAATGCACTCAATTCTCTATCATTGTAGAAATAGCTTAGTTTAGCCATCTTCAAATCTCTACTTTTCTTCTTTTCTCTCTTTTTTCTGATTTCTCAATATTTTCATCAATTGTGTAGGATGTATGGCTCTCCCTATCCCCAAGTTGATTGATCATCTTGCTAATTATGATTAAACTCTCGGTTCATGTCAAACTCAATCCAACACTTAACTTCTTTTGCTCGATTATCCCCTTGTCTGCATTGTTACCTGTTGTCTGTAATTTTACAACTTTTCCTGCGTAATTCTCCACGAAATACCTAGCAATCTCTTCCCATTAACCTTTTCTTATCCTCTATTAAATTGTGCTTCCGCAATGCACCTGAAATTTATTGGACAACGTAAGCCCAGGGCAATTTTTCTTTGGTGAGAATTTTTAACTCTATCCATATTCGAAGAGTTATAGCCCATGCTAGGAATTAGCCACGTCTCCGATGCCATTGATTGGGCTTTTTAAGTTTTTTAGTGCACTATTAGTATTATTATTACACTCTTTGCCCAAAGAAATTAGGTTTTCATTTCCATTTAATTGATTTTTAAAGTCGCCTGATAACAGGAATTATCAACAGTTCGTTTCTTCTTTTTTCTATTATTGATGCGATCATGATTCCCAAAATTTAATGATTACATTTGTTGCAATTCACCCATGAGCCTCCTTCCTTGATCGTTCCAACACTTCCGTCGCCGGCAAAACTGCTTGAGATCCTTTTCATCAAAGTATACAAGCAGCCCAACGTTAGCCTACATACCATTCCATGAGGGTAAAGGTGATTTTGGCGTATGTTCGACGCGTAAACAACATTTCCAGCTAGGATTAATTGTGGTGAACTGGTGATTTAACATATGTTTGATGAGCATCGCAACCGGATACCCGCTTTCGGAACGGGAACTACCACAGGACTACCAGTTCCAGAACCGAAACTGCCTTAAGCGGTTCCGATTCTCATTTTTTCAAAACCACTACCCGCTGGGTACCTGTCAGAACCGGTTATATATATATATATATATATATATATATATATATATATATATATATATAATATATATATATATATATATATATATATATATATTCCTAATAAAAGACTCTCTAAACTGCCACATGGCTCCCTTATAAACCTACTCTATGACACGTGTCATGTTTTAGTTCCCTCTGTGTTTTGTTTTCCCGCCTATTTTAACTTTCCCATATTATGCAGAGTATTCCATAAAATCAGCATGGTTCCCCTGCATTCGGTTTTTATCCCAAAAAATCACGCAAAATATTTAGAATTCCATTTATACTCTTCTAATATCCTATTTTATTTGGAAGATCCTATTAAACATTTAACCCACTCTCTCTCAAATATCCATCGTTCTTTCTCAACAAACCCTAGCCGTCATCATCATTACCATCGTCTTCTAATGCCTCCTTCCTTTCTCCACCATCACCTCTGCATCTTCTTCTGGCGGTTGCACCTTCACCATTACATCTACCTTCAAAGACTTCTCTTCTATGTATAATCCTCCTCCTTCAAATGCCACCCTCTGTTAATTTCAGAATTTATGATTTCAGATTCAAAGGTAAATGAAATCCTCATATTTCAAATCCCTCCCACTTCTTCTTTGGTTTATTATTCTCACACGAGTTTATGTTTGCTATTGCTGAGAAGTAGCCAAATTTTACCACAGTAAGTCATATCCTTACTTAACCATTACATTGTGTATATTGTTTATGGTTATTCATGTCCACATGTGTAAGATTTTCATGAATCACCTCTTTTCTTTCATGTATACTTATTATTTTTATTGACTATTGATCAAATATGTAGGTCCAATACTCTTGATTTTTCAATTATTGAAGTGCAGTCTGTGTATGTAAAGGTTTTGGTTTCATTCATTTTGATCTTTTAGAATCTACATTTTGGGAATCGATTTTATATTATCTAAGGTGTAATTATGATGAACTTGTGTGTTTTTTTAGTAAAACCTCAACACTATGTCAGTTTTTATGGTCGTTATTTGATTAAGAGTTTCAAGTTTCAACTAAGAAGGCTCATAAAGAAATGATGAGGGAGGTTCAAGAAATTGTGAGATAGATGGTCTAACCTCTAATAAATTTCATCAAGCAATAAAGAAATCATGAGATATTATTTTGTTAGGTTCTCTTTAAAGCTAAAGGTGAAAACTTTTACTCCATTTCCTCTTTTTGATATTTTTCATAATTATGTGACTTATTTCAGATGAAGTGGCGGCAAAAGAGACCATGATGAATATCCAGGTATGTAGTTGTGTTCAGAGTTTAGCAATGTTTATGTGCTACTTCGGATGAAAATTGATGTTTGGATTGACTACTCTTAATCTATAATTTTGGTTTTAGTTTGTTTTAATTTTTCTGTACAATAAAGAGTTATTGTTTTTGTTTTAAGGGTTTAATTATGATTCTTGAACATCAAAAGAAAGAAAAGAAGATGAGGGAAAAATGGTCATTTAAAAAAATAACAGATAAGATGTGAAAATTGAACATCCAAGTACCAAAAATGTTATAGAATATCAAAATAAGTTTGTATTTGGGTGCGTTAAGAGACGATTCAAAATAGAAAATTTGTGTGCAAGAATTTGTTATACTAAACTGTAGATCAAATAAATTTTAAACAGATTCACTATTCATACTTACATGAACCGAAACTAGCAGGAAGAGTGGTGCTGGATTCGGGGGCTAATTTTCCTGCGAGGGTATGACTTCTAATATCAGTAAAGTAGTATGATTGTGCTTCCTGTTCTATCTTTATAATTTTTTTATTGTGCTTCCTGGTCATTTTTTATATTTTTGACTAAATTCTTTTTGAGGCGAGTACTTTACTTTTGCAAATTATAATAAAATGTTTGAACTTTTGATGTAGTTGGACTTGGAGAAATGAATGATAAACTTCTGCATGGTTTATTTTAGCTTCTGATCATGATGTCCAAGCTCTTAATGAAACTGTATTTGAAGTTAAAATGGTTAATTTGAAGTTTTTATGTAAATATATTATTATATTTGAAGTCAAGTGTAACGCCCCCAGATCCGGGCTAGTCAATTTAGAGGCAATAGGGGTCAAAAATGACTTTTCGACAAAAGATTATTTAGAATGAATAGTCTTAACCACGTTTTAGAATATGTCACAAGGTTTCCATACATATAAAGAACGCCGAAATCCGAGTTATAACGAAGAAGTTATGGCCCGCCGAAGTTTTACAGCAAAACCGGCACGGCACCGGAAGACGTAAATAGTAAATTTATGATAGAGAGAGATTTAGCCTTAGCGCTCTAAACAAAAGTCGTAGAATATGTTAAACTAAGAACATCGATAAAAAGAACGCCCAAATCTGACTTCGTATGAAGAAGTTATGATTTTTCGAAGTTTCGGATTAACGGTGTACAGCCCGAAATTCGAATTTTAGATCGATTGATTTTTAGCCGACACAACCTAAACAAGAATCGAAGATCTCTTTATTAGTAGCGTAACGATAAAAAGACAGACGAAAATGGACGTCGGATAAAGAAGTTATGAGATTTTAACGGACCAATCCTGTCCCGGCCTGTTAAAAATATAACTTTAAAAATAAAGTCAAAATTAGCCGACGGAGTCTAAACGAAAGTTGTAGAGTACGTCTCCACCTACGCGCGGATATAAAGAACGTCAAAAACGGAGTTCGTATGAACGAGTTACAAATTATAATAGCATATTTACGTATTAAAATAAAGTATAAAACATGTATACGTACACATATATATACATATGTATATATCATTAGAAAGGTATCGACAATGCGGTCATTATAAGACTAATGTTGAGTTCTTTCGACATTAGTTTAGTACAAATATCATTAAATCCATTTAAAATAGTATTATAGAGGGGTGTTTAGTTGTTTATATAACTATAAGGTCATTAAGTAATTATGGAGGGTAGTTTTTGTAAATTCAATTACTATAAATAAGAGGCTTGGGCTCTCATATTTCTTGCACCATTCTCTTGATTCAAGAGTCTTTCTCTCCTTATCCCCCGAGCATTTCGGTCCCTCGTGATTCGACTTCTCTTTCTGTAGTTTAGTATAGTAAGGTGAGCGCTGAAGCGCTGCACGAATCTTTCTTAGAAAGATTCAGCGACGAAGTTCTGCCCCTGCAGAGCCCGACTCCTAGCTAAAACCCCCTTGTAAGTAAGTTATGCTTACCTTATTTTAATATAGCTTATATTTAAAATTAGTATTGTTATTATGAACTTATAATAAATACTTGGGCTATTATTATGGGTTATATAAGTATTTTTTTTACGCTTATATAATAATAATAATAGCTAGACTATTAATTAGTCTCGGCGAATAATAAACTAAACTCTAGTGGTAATAATACTAGGTTTCGTCGAAGAAAATTCTATTTAAGAAGCGAAGCGCTGTCTGAGTTCGGAATCACCACCTTTTCAAGTGAGTGCATAGTTACTTTCAGCTTACACATAGATATGAAGTATTTTATATAAATTACGTGCTGTGTGTGTATATTATCTGTATACTTGCTATCTATGCTGGATGAACGTTTTATACATGTTTTCAATGATTTAAACTGTATATGTATTTTATATCTACAGAATGTGTTGGGTAAGACATGGGTAGATGTATTAGTTGCTGTGTGATAAAATGAAATAATGAGATGCCTCGTTATAGATGTTCTTGATGATCTAGTCATCTAGCGGAGTATAGATGACGACCACGGACTATTCTAGACAGTCCAGTGGAACACTAACAGGCTCGCAACCTGTAGGTGTTTATTTGAACTTTGTGTTTAACCGAACTGTGTGTTTATTCGAACTGTGTGTTTATTCGAACTGTGTGAACTGTGTGCTCACCAGATATACTCCATCCCAATGATAGTCCTTTGACTAGGTCCCTTGTGTTAGATGTTTTAGGGACGTAATGTGAGGATAACGGGAATGGGTAATTGGGTTGATTGTTTGATGTTTAAAAAAAATAATTATATTATTGTGGGTTGAAAACCCTATGTGCTCACCAGGTTTCCCAACCCGACCCACTCAGTTTATTTTTATCACAGGTGTTGATATGAAGTCACAATACACTGAGAGATTTAAAGAGATGTAGATCACTAGTGTAAATAATTGTAAGTTCTGTTTATGCTTATGTTTCTGTATTAACGATGACATCCCAAACGTTTTAAAATGAAATAAATACGTTTCATCGAAAATGTTTTAATAACGTATTTACCATGTTTTTCTGGGAACAAATTCCGCAACATTTTTATAAAATGAAGTACTCTGATTTTTATAAAGCATAAACAAAATCGGTCTTTTCTGGCCGTGATTTTTGGGGATGTCACATCAAGTCAGAGGTGTGGACTAACTTGATGGTAGTTGGTTTTGTAACTAAAAAATATTTGATTTGATCATCAAGGTTTATGCAGCTGGTATGGACCAATGATGTTTTATTGTTATTTCATTTTGTATCTCAGGTGAATCTCTTTATGAATATCAAATTGGAAGTAACCATATGATTTATTTGTATTTTTTTTTCATTTTTCATCCGTGGTTTCCACGGGTTATAACCTAGTATATATAATAAAGGAGTACTTTGCATAACATGTGTCCCTCTTATGCACCTCCTCCTTGCCACGTGGGTTAACCAGGAATCTCTTATGCAAAATTTCCCGCCCATCCTTTATCCTTTATAGCAAATATAGATACATCACCTCCTAAAATTTAGTTCATTTACCTGCATGTAAAAACAGAAGATATTAAAGATCGATACATCAGCTCCTAAAATTCAACTCAATTACCTGTATATAAAAACATGAATCAAAGATATTAATCCTATATTTTTGGTAAATTTATGGTTATTTGTTTTACAGCATATATTTTGAAATTCAAAAAATAACAATCGATATTATCATATCCCGTAAATCAGGAATCAAATCAACCCAAATCTTTGCAAAAAAAAAAAAAGAGAAAACGAAATTGTAGTCAAAGATTTAATTTGAAACAATTATCCACTAATCAAATCCATAAAAATCAAGAATAAAATCGGCAAAATAAAATACTTTTCTGCAACTAATGAAATTTTTGTGCTTCATTACTCTCTGCATATTTATATTAACCCATCGAATTGCCCATAATCTTCTACTGCTTTGCCCTCAAGTTTGAGTTTCTTAACTGCTCTGCTCTACCGATTTGCAAAGGTTAGTAAAACACTCATTCCTATTATTTTTTCCTTTTAACATCAACCTGCACATCTATTTCTGTAATTTCAATCTTTCTTTTTCTCTTTTTTTTTTCTGTCTTTGTGTTTAGAATGTAATTCGTTTATTTGCCTTTGTTTCTTGAACATATGTTTACATCAATTAATTGACTGTCATTCTTGCTATGTTTGCACGCAATGAAGGTACAATTTTAAAAGTTGTTATTTTTTATTATATGTTTACACAATATGTTTCAATAATTTGATATTACATTTCATTCAATCCCTTCACTGCTTTCACTGTTTCACATGACAGTTGCTATCTACTCTAATGCTACACGAAAACCATGATAACTATGCATTTTATGAGTGGATAAACGAATTGGTTATTGTTACGTGAACAGTCTCACGACAACTTTTATTCAGCAACAAATTATACAAGAGGATTATATATAATTTTTGTCTTTTTTGACAACTTTTATTCAGCAACAGATTATATAACAGAATTATATATAATTTGTCTTTTTTTGATAAATTGTATAACATAACTAAAAGATTATGGTTTTTCAGCAACAAATTGTATAACACAACTAAAAGAGTATGGTTATAGATTTTACTTTATCTATATATTCGTTATTTTGAATTTCATTTCATTACTTTTTTTACTGTATTTTGATTTCCTGTCATTTTACATTAGGTTATCAGCTTGGTTGTTCTTTGATAATTAGTTCAACTTATTTTACATTTGTTTTTCCATCCGTTTCATTTTATATATGCTGATTTTTCTGTGCAGAGCAATGTCACAGCTAAATGTTACTTTGATTTCAGCAACAAATTATATAACAGAATTATATATAATTTTTGTCTTTTTTTTATAAACTGTAAAACAGAACTAAAAGAGTATGGTTATTCAGCAACAAATTGTATAACATAACTAAAAGAGTATGGTTATAGATTTTACTTGATGTGTATATTCATTATTTTGAATTTCATTTCATTACTTTTTTTTTACTACATTTTGATTTCCAGTCATTTTACATTAGGTTATCAGCTTGGTTGTTCTTTGATAATTAGTTCAACTTATTTTACATTGCTTTTTTGATCCGTGTCATTTTATATATGTTGATTTTTCTGTGCAGAGCAATGGCACAGCCAAATGTTACTTTAATTTCGGATTTGGATATACTTAAAGATGATTCGACTATCAAAGTTAAAGTGATAAACCTATGGAACCTTTTTTTCATTCTATAACAAGGATGAAATTTTCTCGATTGAATTAATCTTAATGGATGAACAAGTATTTTACAACTTAACACTATATATTCATTACACATTCAAAATTTAATATGATTTGATTATAATTTTATATATCATACGTCTTTTAGGGTACCAAGATCCAAGCAAACGTATTAAGAAAAAACATCTATCGATTCAAAAACATTCTAAAAGATGGCTTGGCATTTTACATACAATGTCCAAGTTTTGCATCTGAAAGGATGGGTGGTTTTACTTTAACTCGACAACATCATTAACTTACTTTTATCCATAACAGTGTTCTTACGGAGTGTCATGACTTTTCTGGACTTGCATTTGGTTTTGAATTTGTTGATTAAGAGTCTATTATCTCATTGACCCATCCTAAAAACACCGCTATCGGTTAGTTGCAATTTGTTATAGATTAATTATTGTCAATTTTATGGTTTGAATAGTATATCAGGTTTTTAAAATCATAACAAAATTTAACTCATCTTTTTTTATGTTCATAGATGTTATTGGATTGGTCGTTGCAATTGGTGAGATGGGGGAGAGACAATAATGATATCAAAAAACACAGACTCAACATCCAAATCCAAGATGCAAAGTTTGTTATTTTATATTTTATTTTATTTTTATGGATATTAGATTATCTAATTATAATTTCATTTAATTTAAAACTTTTATTTGGCAGTGGTTTGCAACTAAGTGTCCATTTGTGGGGTGATTTTGCTTACAAAATGCAAGGGTTTCTTGATAACAATCCACACAATCTTCGTATCATCGTTATCATTCAATTTGCGAAACTTAGTATTTGGAGAGGTATACTATAGTATTTTGTTATTAATTATTTTTTCAATCATTAAATGAACACTTATTAAAATCTTTTTTATAGATCGTCCCACAGGTAACACATATTTTTCAGTGTCGAGGCTGTTCATTAACACATACATTGATGAAATCAATGTTTTTAAGAAAAGGTATTTTATGTTATATCATTCTAATTTCTCCGATTAACTTTTATGTCACTAATATTAGTTATATGTGATTAATATTAGTTATTTGTGTTATTTCATTCTAATTTCTATATTTATCTTTTATGTGATTAATATTATTTACTTTTCTTTATTTCATTCAAATTTCTGCAATTAATTTTTATGTGACTAATATTAGTTAATTTTTTTTAACAAACAGTTTGGATGGAGATGATCGCCCTGATTCATCCACAAATACATTCACACTTATGAAGTCTAATAAAGTTTCTGAACATGATGATTTCATGGTTAAGTTTCAGTTGAAGACAATTGTTGATGTTTCAGAACCTGTGGAGGTGTGGTTTTTATATATTTTATAATATTTATAAACCTACTTTTTTGTTACGTATATTGCATATTCAAAATAAAATTAATATACAGAAAAATACTTTCATTATCGTGGGCACTATAAAGGGAATTTTACAAAATGAACCATGACATTATTTGGCATGTATAAATTACAAGTACAAAGCAATTTGGCCTCCTGGTACAGAAGACCAACTTGATGATGAATGATTAACTGGTTATGAATGTCATAATAAGGATTAAACAAAAAACAAAACTACAGTTCTTCCGAGGTTATTATTTTCCTCCTTAATCATTAAAACCTATATTATATTTTATATTGTAATAAATATATTTTGGAATTTCCTTTTTGATAGATATATGATTCCGATACGTGTGCAAGACAATATTGGTACTCTTACCTTAACCATGTTTGAAAGAGATGGAAAGTATCTTTTGAAAAAAAAATCAGCCCATGATTTGTTTAAAAAAACAATCAAGGTCGTCTTCCTTGATTAAAATTAAATGATACATTTACTTAATATATTTAGTTTAACTAAATTTTTTTTACTTTTTTTTATTGTAGCTTGGTTTTAGTACTCAACTTTATCCCGGAGAGATAAATGTACTGAAAGGTGTGAAGTTAGCTTTTAAAATATCAATCAGTTGCTTCAATGTCTTGAAAAAAAAACAACAAATACGGTATATGTAGAGTCAGTGATGATGAAAAGTTGATTGAAGAACTCGAAAATAAGTTTACTATTTCACAACTCATTAATTTATTTATTATTATTATGGTTAATATTTTTACTATTCTTTTAAAGAGATTTATTATTATTATTATTATTATTATTATTATTATTATTATTATTATTATTATTATATTATGTATTACTATAATTACTATTATTATTATTATTACTATTATTATTATTATTATTATTATTATTATTATATGTGTTCATATTTTTTATTTTTTATTATGCAGGTAGGTAATTCACAATCATTTGATATTGGTGAAGCCAATTCTGAATCACAAGATAATAGGATTTTGAAGGTTATATACACTTTATAATAGCATATAATTATTTTATAAATATAAGTTCAGATTATAAATTAATTAAGTACAAAAATTTTTAGGATGCAATTTCTGGGACAGACGGCAACATAATACCTTCCACTGTTGATAAAAACTCAGCAACAAGTCCCATGAAGGGTTTCAATACACCAACTGTTTTGAAGAGAAATCTGGAAGAAGTGTTTGATCTGGAGTTGAATGAAAATTTATCATCATCAAAAACTCCAAAAATATCGTCAGAATGACGCATTAACCAGATTGTGAAGGTAAAGTTGGAAAAAAGTGGCTAGCTTTTTATTTTAAGTTTAAGTTTCGTTAGGTATTGGATTATGATTTATAGACAATAATTATGCATTTTACTTTTCATTAAGTACTTTCACGTTTTGTTTTAGAATTTTCAAACATTTGTTGGGGATAATTGTTTTTTTAGTAGTATGTTCAACCTATATTCATAATATATTATTATGAATGTGAATTTATGATTTAGAAATAATTTTGTTATTTAATTCACTTATGATCTTGGAATAATTTTTTACTTAACATACACCACATTTTAATTTTCAAACATATATTATTTAGACATCTATTTGTAGCAGTTGTTTACATTTGACTTTGAATCTGGGTGTTTCTGATTCCTATTCTAAAGTAGCCCAGTCTGTGATTGTGATTATGCTTCAGAATGAGATTGATTGAAGATCTTAATTCTGGTTGATTACAAGTTGTTTATTCATTGATATTTCCAGCTTTACAGGAGGACGAAATAACACAATTCAAATTTCACAAATCAAATATTTACAAAAACAAAACAAATACAAAAAATTTCAATCACATTATTCTTACTTGAAGTAAAACATTGAAAGATTGAGGTTTTGTTAGTTGACCACATTTCAAGAATGGTACCCACGGCTATAGATTCTTCCATATCTAAAGAAAACAATAAATTATTAATTTTGTTAGTTAATATATATTGCTACCTATAGCACATTTCAAAATACAATGCTTATTTTGGAACCAATTATTCCTCTGGGAGTCAGAGAAACTGATTTAGTGGTTTAAGAGCAAAATTAATATATATTGCTATAAAAGTGTAAACAACAATTTTTTGATAGTAGAATGTTATAATAGGAATAAATAAAGGTACGATACCTTAAAAAACTAATCAATATAAGTGCATTACCATTTTTGTCCAATTATCATTTGTCTAGGCTACACATACCACCTACCTGTCAATTTAAAAAGATTGGTTATAAAATACTAAATATTGTGTATTACATATGTTGATTAAAAGATATGTTAAATAATAAGAAATATAAATAAAAAAACACAAATTTTTTATCTCAACTAAATATCATCTTAGGGTTGCCATCTTTTAATGAACAATTGTGTATTAACAGATTCAATACATTCTAAAATATTATGCAAATCAAATAGCCCCTAAGGGTTTCGATATTCAATGAAAATGTGCTTATACAAATAATTGAATTTAACATATAAATTAATTGTATAGATTGCTATGTTTTAGGCAATATAACTAATGATAAACAAATCTAATTAATAAAAGTAGCATTGTTATTTTTCATTTTAACCCTTCTGCATAAAATCCTAAATAAACATCTATTCATGCACTTATACATCAAGTAATAAGAGTTTTAATAAACTATATCACCAATCAATCATTTGAATCATATTACTAATACACTTTGTTGTCAAATAAGCTGAGCAGTGTCCACTTTTCCAACTGGCTACTTGAAAGCAAAAAAGGAAAGTCATTCCTTTTTCAATAATGGAGTTTGGAATCTTTCCCTTCCTAACCTTTTAATCTAATTAACTAATCATCTGTATTATAAATACTTCAATAGTATTATACCTAATGTGATATATATAGATAATAAATAATTATCAATAGCAGAAATACACCATTAGACAATTAGACATGGATTGGTGCATAAAATAACTCACTTTTTAAGTTTATTACATTTTAATGTTCGTTGCCCTTGACTATGGTATATTGCAATCTAATATAACTTATATGGATTTCTGCAAATTGTCACATACCATTTTTATTGGCCTGCAAGATAATAAAGCAGTAGTAAAAAATAAGCGATTTTAATTGAAATAGGGATTAAAGGTATGCAAAAAGATAAAGTTTGATAAAAATGAACAATGATTTAAACTAATATAAGTATCTTGAAACACAGTGATCCACCAAAATATCGATTCTTGATCACAACTTAAATATGGATCAGATATGGACTATCTGTATTATACATAAAATTGAAAACCTTACTATACAATGATACAAAACTTATATAACTTAGAGGGTATATCAAATAAAATAATTGTTTTATTTACTCATATGATCCCCTAAATAATCATTAACGAGATTTTGTCTAAAATTTAGCAATTTCAAAATCCAAATGTTTAAACAAACACTCAAATTTCAATAATCTATTTTCTGTTAAAAAAAAAACTAAGATTAACCATCAGTTGATCATCTCTTACCTTGAATCTTGCTTTCTTCAAACCCCAATGTTGTGTTCAACAATCTCTGAGTTCGAAAGCGGGATTACTCAATGTAAGATTTTCTTCACTTCACATTTCTAATCGGTGGTATATTAGTATCTTCCTTTATCGATATACATGGATAAACGTTCACAACCTTTAAGAAATCGAACGGTAGCTGTGGAAATGTGTATGTAATCAAAATTCTAGGGCTGAGTTTTTTGTTTGATCGTGTGTGTAAGGGAAAGGGAAAAGTTTGGGGAATAGTGATAAATTTTAGGTGGGTTTTATTATAAATCAAAAATTATGAATAATTTTTTAAATGGTTAAAATTAAGTATATTTAATTTCTCATGTATTTGATTTACTTTATGCATAAACATGGTTTTAAATGTCAACCCGGATATCTTAAACATTTGAAAACATTAGCTGTAATGGAATTTTCAATATATATATATATATATATATATATATATATATATATATATATATATATGTGTGTGTGTGTGTGTGTGTGTGTGTGCGCGTGTGGAATTTCCATTGTATTATCAAAATCGAGCATGAACAATGATAAAGAATACGTTATCACTTTCTCTAACATAAAAAAAAAAACCACTTTTATGATCGATAAATATATTATGTTTTTCCAATTGTATTGTCATATAACATAAGTTTCGCATTATGATTTATAACTATCTTTTGTTTGTTATTATTATTCAATTTCTTAATTGAAGTTTATATGGATTACATAAGTTTCCAATCATTTGTAATAGTTATTTTAAAATTATTAATTTTTATAAGTTAACTTTATTGATTTTATTATATATCAAAGAAGAATATGGATGCTACATATGCTATAGAAAGAAGAAGAAAGAGAAAGTTATACTTGGATAATAAAAAATCTAAGAATAACTATACCGCGGAATCGTCTCAACGTATATCTATTGCACATGCTACTCATTTTAGCCAATACGGTAATTTTCTTACTTTGTTTTAAATATTTGATATATTTTATTTATTTATTTTTAATCTATTGTTCATAATTATTTTAAAAATAAATAAATTTTTATAAAATATAATATATTTAATTTTATATAAAAAATTGTTCTTAAATTATTTACTATCATTTTACAGGTTCAATTAACACTACAACTTCTACAAACGCTAAAGAGATCAGAAAAATTAGAAAGTTGTATTTGAATAATAAAAAATCCAAAGTAAATTCTAACGCATCTACCCATCAAAAATTACATATTACAAATGTTTCTTACATATCAAATAACGATATTGTTATTCTTTTATTTTATAATTCTTTTTGAACTATATAAATTATATCAAATTGCTAAATTCTAAAGTTTAATTGTTTTTTTATAATTAATTTTATGGTTTTATTACTAACAATATTTTTTTTTTCATTACATAATAAATGTCTACAATCGTCGTAGTCATTTACAGAAACGTCATCAGATAAGGAAAATCTAAACTCAATCAAATCATTTGCATATCAACATACAACTATTCATTCTCAGTCTACGGATATAAATGTTAGAACTCCTTTATCTAACATTTCAAATGATATTCATTTCTTTATAGACAGATTCTAAAATATATGTTTCCCAGATATATAATTTATAAAAATTTCTAACGTTATAATTTGTATTTTTATTTTTTCAGGAAATTATATTTTTCATAATAACATTCAAACACCGCTATCTATTAACAATGATAATCCATTGTTTGGTATTGGTATGATGTCTACCGATCGTTCAACCATCACTCAAAAATCTTCATCAATCAAGTTACTAAAAGGAAAACATCAATTAAAAAGGAAGACTACACACATATCCGCATACCTATGATTGACTTGACATTAGATGAAGAAATTAATGATGACCATATTATTGAAGATGTTTTTCGTGGCACTTCACAAGGTGATCATAAATATAGAAAATTTAATATATTTATTTAATATTTTTAATTATATTCATTATTTTTAATTTATTTATGGGATTCAACAGATTACTTGGATCATGGAGACCATATTGTCATATGTCAAATTTGTGATGCAAAACTATGGAAAGATGATCGCTTAGAGGCAAAAAAAAAAAAAAAAAAAAAAAAAAAAAACAAACAAACGGGAATACATCTTATTCGTTATGTTGTGGTTACGGCAAAGTTGAACTACCACCTTTAAAAGAAGTACCGTCATCTTACAAAAATCTTTACCGTTCCATAGATTCTAAAAGCAAACACTTTATGAAGAACATTCGGCGTTACAATTCAATATTTTCATTTACATCCATGGGAGGAAAAGTTGATTCATCCATCAACACGGGCAACGCACCATACATATTTAGACTTAGTGTCAAAATTATATGTCACACCCCCAAACTAATGATGGTGGAAACGTCCGGGGGTGGAGGACTTCATGTATAGTATCATAACCACAATGGCAATAGTAATTCAAGCAAACAAAACCAACATATATATAATTGAAAGAGTTGCATCATTGTATGAATTACATGTTTCCAAATCAATTACAATATGTTGACAAAATATCAAATGTTGACACCCTAACGTCCCATCCTCAAAATGCACTTGGTTACCTGTTTAGTGATTTCCTGAGAATACAAGTTGTTTGAAAAAGTGTCAAGTCAAAGGTTGGTAAGTTCATAAGCTTTTTTTTTTAACTTGATAAAATCCTTTCTCTCATAAATGTCATGTTTGTTCCAAAAAAAAATCCAATATTTTCCATAAAATGTGTAATGTAGTCTTATATCCAGAGACCAAAATGTATAAGTAACCTTTCTTACTTATAGTAAATAATGCAAGTTTAAATCGGCATAAACTCTTTTAATTTTAATGAAATTCCCGTAAATTCCTATGTTTGTTAATACTTTATGTGAGTTATTATAACCATGTTATGACCTAGTTGGCCTGAAACGACGTTCTTCAGGTGTTGGAAATGTTATGACATTTGTCACCCAAGACC